TGGATTTTAAACTGTCATACAATTTTTTTCTTCGATAGTTTGTAATTGGAACCATAACTCTTATTTATTCAAATTGTATTAATATGTAAAGACCAAGTGTAACCTATATCATCGTTAAATCTTATCTTATAAAACCAGTGGAGCTTCAAAATCGTTAAAATTCATGGCTTCCGCCGCATTGCGCGGGTACACAACTAATATATATATATATATATATATATATTTAAACGAGAACCCCTGTGATTTACGAGAACACAAGAACAATCCACTAAGCTCAAACTTTTTTGATTAATAAATTAACTTAAATTGAAAATAAATAAGTCAATAAGAGCAGTAATGTAATTAAGTATTTTTAATAATTTTTATTTTATTTCAATTAATTATAATTATTTTTTTTCTGGATTGATCACCTGGTGCCTTGATCACGTTCTTTTGCATTCTCTTCTCTAGTTGGTTTCCTTCACACGACTTTCTTATATCCTTTTCTTCAGATCGTTCATAGTATCCATATTTTTGTTGATCTATAATGGAGGACCTGAATGTTGTTGGTAAAAAAGCTTGTAAAGGATCGAGTTATTCGAACGACGATTCTGGGGGCTTTTCTGAAGATTGTTTTTTTGAAGACAGTATTTTTGAAAGCAGTTCTGATAATGATGATAAAGGTACGATAATAATCTGATAACATGAAAATTATATAGTTTTTTTCGTGATTCAGAAGTAGTTTGATTTGAGATTTGCTAGCAATTAACTTGCTTTTGATTATATCATATATATCAATCACATTTATCACATCGTTATCACATAAATGAATTTCCTTGTTTGATTTTTGCAAGATAAACGATAGGTTCCATCAACTAACTAATTTATAAGTGCAAACAATTTTTAATCCATGGAGTACTTCTACGACACCTCCTTCATTACTTGAAAACCCCAAGCCAAATCTAAACAAGTTTATCTCATGACCATCATATACAGAGCATAGCTATTGAAATTAACTCTAATAAACTACTTAAGTTGGTGTGATGTGGGTGTGATATCACTATTATAATCATTGATTTGGTGTTAGAAATTGATGTTTATCACATGTGATAGGCATCCCAATTTGGTTGAAGGATCGATAATAGTTTGATGTGTAAAAGGCTGCCATCAATTTTCAAGTTTGAATGATATGGGTTTTTTATCACATGTGATAAAAGGTACATCGAGTTGTGAATGTCAACATTTTTTGTTCATTTATAGTTATTGGTATATGTTGGTTTGAGTTTAATGTTATTGTAGTTTTGTAATTGAGCATTTTGATATTATCACATGTGATAAACATCCCATAGTTGCAATTATATGTTACTGTAATGCTTCTTGATGAGGTTGATTTTGTTTTCATTTAATTTAATAGTAATTATGTTTAGTTTTATTATGACACATGAGACTTCGTTAATTTGGTTTATATGTATATTGATTTTTTTTATTTACAACACATGGGTAATTGTTTCACAGATCATTTCGTGTTACCAGCTCAAGGAGTGATTGGAAGTCTTTGTGGTGATGGAGGTAGTATACCATCTGTTCCAAGTGAATTTCAACCGGTTGTTGGTTTAATCTTTGAATCATTGGAGGTTGGAATTGAAAAATATCGAAGATATGCCGACATCGTCGGGTTTGACATTCGACTATCAACCTAGAAGACAAGGAATGGTGGTATAGTCAAACTAAAATATGTTGTTTGTCATAAGCATGGAAAACCAAAAAATAGGTAGGTTGACTCTGTTGAAGTGGATGGACATCGTAGACAAGTACGAAATACGAACTTTAAAGTTACAGATTGTAAAGCGTCTGTTAGGTTTAAGTACATAGAGGGGTCTCAATCATCATATAGATTATACTATTTTTGTCCCAACCATAACCATGATTTGATTGATGATGCTGATACAATTTTATCACGTAAGAGTAGACAACTTAGCTATGATGACAAAGTTATGGTACACCGGTCGGCGAGGTCAAATATTGGGCATGTAAAAGTCCACAAGTTGCAGGTTTGTTTGAAAGGTGGCTACGATGATGTTGGTTCTAGTGTTGTTGATTATAAGAATTTCAAGAGGGATCTCAATAACTATGTTGGTGATGAAGACGTACAAATGGTTGTAAACATGTTGAACGACAGAAGAGAATATGGGACAAACTTTGCATTTGAGTACAAAATTGACAATGGTCGTTTGGTATCAATGTTTTGGGCCAATGAGTTGACAAGGTTGAACTACACAGTGTTCGGTGATGTTATGTCATTTGATGCGACATATCGTTTCAACAAGTAAGTTAATTTAATGTTATCATAATATGGATTTTTTAATTTTTATGGTATCGACTTATATTTTCAATTTTTTGTCATCGTAGGTATAACATGGTTTTTGTACCATCCACCGGTATTGATAACCATAGGAGATCTGTTGTTTTTGGGTCAAGATTGATCACTGAAGAAACTATCCAAGCATATATCTAACTGTTGGAGTTATTCTTGAAGGTTCATGGTCGTCAACCGACCCTTGTTTTGACTGATCAAGATGTTTCCATTAAGGAAGCAATCCCGATTGTGTTTCCTGATGCTAGACATCGACTATGTATGTGGCATATCATGAAGAAGCTCCTTGCCAAGGTATTGAATGTTTTATTGTTTTGCTCATATGACTTGATATTTCCATGTTTAAAATTAGGGTATAATTTAAATCATAGAAATGCGTGAAATTTAGTTTGAAATTGCTAGATTTGGTTTCTTACTGGATTTTAACACATATGATTGAACGTAATATTATATTCAGAGTTATTGGTGATAATCATGTGATAATAATGTGACTGTAGTTGTGTATCGTATGTGAGTTGCAAATTTAATTTCCTTATAATCATGTTATGATGAAGGTTGGTTCTAATATCATTTTGAATACAAACTTCTGAAAACGGTTATTAAAATTAGTATGGAGTGTACACCTTGAACCTAATGAATTTGAGGTTAAATAGGCATTTTTGTTGAATGAGTTTGACCTTCATACTCACCCATGGTTTGAGGACGTCTTTGAAATGCGAACGAGTTGGATTATTTCCTATTTTAGGGAGATACCTTTGTGTTGTTTAATGAAAACCACCTCCAGATTTGAGAGCACCAACTCATTTTTTCGAAAATTTGGTAAGCATTCTAATATTTTGTTAGAGTTCATTTTGTCCCATGGCACTGCGATAGACAAATAGAGGAATATGCAGCGCAATGAAGATCATAAGACGAATACCACCACACCTACCTTCAAGACAGATACATTGATCGAGTATCATGCAGCAAAGGTGTATACTCGTGCTATTTTCTTCAAGGTCCAACAGAAGATCTTCAAGGGTTATAGATTTTGTTCCCAGTGGCAAGCTAATTCTGAAATGGGTTTCACAGTTTATACAATAAGGGAGAAGAAAAAACATTGTTCCACGAAGCTTGAGTTTAAGGTACATTATCAGTATTATTAATTATTTGTTTAACTTTATCACATATGATATTCTATGTCGTGTTAAATATCACATGTAATAGTTTAGTTTGTTGTTATAATCTTGTATCACCAATTATGTTGTATGTTAGGTTGTTCAATCGCATTCAGATGACTTAATATATTGTGGTTGCCGCCATTTTGAGTACTATGGAACTTTATGTCAACATGTGTTCACTGTCTTGTTTAACCTTGATTTTGATGAAATTCTGCAACAATATATTCTTAGGCCTTAGATGAGGGGGGTCATACCTGTTGATGTGTTGCGTAATCGACATATATCAATTGGAAGCCATAGTCGGGTTGAAAAATTATCTAATGACGTGTATCTTGAGGTTGGTCAATGTTTAATGAATTTAAAAGGTAACGAGGAGAAGTTAACTGCCTTTCTTGACAATATCCGTTCATGGAAGTCAGTTGTGCTAAGCGATGTGCCTAAGAAACTCGATTTTACCAACAAATATGATGTGCTTCAGTCGTTGGTAGGTGTTCCTCTACCGGAGAAAATTGATATTCTTCCCCCTCAAGGCATTCATAACAAAGGTTGTGGCACTAGTAAGCGTCTGATTGGGGCGGGAGAGAGAGCCATAACAAAAAGCAAACGGCCGAAAAGACCATGTCGAGGATGCAAGGAGCTTGTCAATCATGATATACGAAATTGCCCCGTGAGGAAAGCCACTTCCAATTAACGTTTTTCCATCTCTTAATGAATTAGGGTTTTTTTTTTGTGGTTCTAACAATATTGGAACATATTATTTTATTTAGTTCTTTTGAATTTGGATGTCAATAATGGTTGTTTTAAAATGATTATCAATCACAATTACATGATGTTAGTAAATAGAAGGCTTTCATATCAAACTTTAGTGGTACTTCAATTTTAGAATATCATATGTGATATCTTTGTTGATCACGTTTCATATATATACTTGCAATCTGTTTTTTTGTTAGATGACACATTGTATCTTATAATAAAACATTTTAGTATTTGATAATTATATATAAAACATTTTAGTACTTGATAATTATATACATTTGGGAATCTTCTCACTTTATGGATCTTATCAACCCTGATATACTCGTTTATGCCCTGTGATATCTTTGAACATATCACATGTTATGACGGTTAAATCGGAAATTATGTTATTGTTGTGTGATTGGAAAAATAACCCAACTAAAAAATGTCTGCTATAATTTATAACAAATATTGTTACTCCACAAATGTGATAAGCGTTTTGTATAGTTTCACATCATGACTATGCTTATGCAAATATGATTTGTCATAGAAACATAATTTCCAAAATATATGCAAATTCAACACAATTGTTTTTGTTATAGTCTTCCCTTTGTTCTACTAGTGATGAAAGTAAAAAAAATGCTAAACTACAAATGATATGAGCAAACATCCAACTTCCTGTAACTTTCTACCTATTGACTCTTTTCTGAAACGCGTCTCCTTTGTGTTGAATGCAGATGTGAGGATTGATTTCTTCAGACTATAATCCAATTTATCAAATTCAAGTGCCTGTTTATACAGTGCATACTTTAAAAAGTTGCTATTTGAAAGCAGGATCTTTGTAAGGTATGTTCTCCTTAAACGTCATAGTTGTTGTTCATGTCCACAACCCTCTTAAAAGAAACCACAATCCCAACGGTTTATCGCTTGTCCCATATAATGCTCCATGTGTCGCATTATGAAGATTCTGCAATCAACATCGTTTCCTACCGTACTCCATTTTAGGTTGCAGACATTGGCGGTGACATTAGTCATGATTTTTTCTTTAGGGTGCCTCACTGATTTCAAGTAGTCATTAAGCGCCTTATGCTACGTTTCAAAGTTGTATTTTCATTAGTCATGTAGTAATTTCATGTACAGATATTTTTAACTTGTCATGTGATAAAGTTCGTAAACTCTTACCAATTGGAGTGGTAGTTCCCCATACTTTCTTCCTATGTCAACCTTTGTTTTCGTGTTATCGAATATTAAGAAGCCCAGATTTTTGAGGTTGAACACAATTAGGTAGAAGTGTCTTCGCCTTCGAATGGGGAAAAAATCTACAAATGAACTCCATTAGTTTCTTTCAACCATTTATGTCGCCACCTTGTTTAATAATTGTGTAATTAGTAAAATAATCGAGAAAATATACCATATCTACATTTCTTAAGGTTTCTAGTTCCTTATTGTTTTTCATTGCAGCCTCCAAGATGGTTTCAAACATATTATACATGCTTTCGTAGCTCAATTTTGGTGGTAGCATGTCATCCGTCTTTTTTGTTAAGTGATAATGTTAAATCAGTGACTCTATCAAACAAATTTATATTAAGCGATCAAATATTAATATCACATACTATCTTTGTGGTGTTACAAAATAACCTTCGAGAGGAAGACTTGCTTCTGTATTGTTCATTATTGTTCAACATTGTTGTCCATACGTCAATCACACCGCCGAATATGCAAGTATCCTCAACCATGCTCTCGAAAATATAATGTGGCGCATACTCTCCGAAGTAAAGTATATCGGGTCCCTGTAAGTTAATAAATTATTTGATTAGTAGATTTTCATACGAAAATAAATGTCATAGATTTAATAAGTTATAACCAAAAAATATGTGATAATTCAACTTAATCGAGTGTTGTGATATTATGTGATAAGATGCGGTAAAATGTTTTTACTTTGTTTTCATTATGTAATGACCTGGTAACCATGTGATAACTTGTGAGAAATGTTTGTTTGTAAACCTCGTAGAAGGTCAGACGCTTGTGATATTTAAGCTAACTATTTGTGAGGCCAAACTGTTTTAGACATGAGATTACTTAAATAACATTTAACCTTCACAGCCCAACCATGGTGATGGTATATGTATGCTTAAATTTCGTGTCAAAGTAACAGTGTAACAAAAATAAGGTGTGATAAGCTGTGAATAAAAATAAGGTGTGATAAACTGTGATAACTTGTGATAAAATCTGCTAACGCTAATAAGTGTTAAAGTATGTTACTCATTTATACTAAAGTGATTGTGTGTATGTGATAATCAAATGTGATATAGCTAATCGTGTGATAGTCATATGCAAATGTTAGTGTCCAGTAGTTAGATGAACTTACATCTAATAGCCATCCATAGCGAATATTAGGTTAGAAAGGATTAACTCAACTTTTATGTTAGGCCGGTGTGCGTCCATTTGTCTATTCATATACGGTGAACATATTTTTTCTCTCGCCTTTGAAGCTCTTCGATGAATTGAATGGGTGTATATCTCACTTATTGGTTTCACATTAAGAACCACAACATTTTCTATTAGGATCATTTTCCTTCGCATCAGCAACTTCTCCCAACTCTTGAGTGAGACCTAGACTAAAATCCAGCATCTGTAACTTCTCATATACTTTAATTGCTTTTTCAACTCTCTTAATTATTTCCACATGTGAGAAGAATTGTGTTGGTGTCTCAACAATATCTTGTGCGCCCTCCATAACACCTTGCCATGAATCACTAGTTGATGCTTGTTTTGTTCCACCACTTTTAGCAAGTGGCATGTTCATCGAGGCATCACAGTCCATGTTGTCATCTACTACCAAATCTATCAAATTTTTTTGCCAACCTTCGAACTCCACAGAGGCGGGGTAACTAGTTCTGGCTTTTTTTAGAATCTCGTCGAAATCACTCTTCAACGTCTTCAACCTATTGAAGATGTGTTCGATCCCATCCAAGTATCTCTACACAAACCCACAAACAAATGACATGTGAAGGTATTTCATAAGTAGTGATTTTATTTCTTACTTTATGAAAATTATTTGATAACTATGGTGGATATATGTGATAAGTAAGTTGTGATAATCATGTGATAAATAAGCAATGTGGCCATTTTTTACATTATACATTAATCTATTTTGTCCTAACTAGATTGTGATATGCAAGCAAACTGAAATTTATATGCATTAGACATTGTGAATGAACCCTAGCTAGATTTGTGATAATCATATGATACGTAAGTTGTGATAATGATATGATGACTATGGTGCATATTTGTGATAAGTATACGTAATCATGTGATAAGCAATACATGTTAATGTGTTCAAAATATTGATTTAATTAGAATATAAAACAATGCAAGTAAGTGATTTTATTTGTTACTTTATGAAAATCATGTGATACCTATGGTGTATATATGTGATAAGTAAGTTGTGTAATCATGTCATAAGTAAGATATATTAATTGGTTCAAAATATTGTTTTGAATAAAATATAAAAGAATGCAAATTAGTATATTATCATCTTTACCTTAATGTCACTTTCTTCGTTCTCTCTTGAGCTATCTTCACATTGTGCATCAACCAATGGTTTTACAGCATTCCCAATCCCGAAACCACCGGTAAAAATTTCTATTGCTTCTCGTCTTCTTAAAATATCCATTGACCAACTTGCAATGCATGGTCTTTCGCATATGATGTGCACAGAATCACATTGAATGGTGTCGACGTACAAAAGCTTCATTTAAAAGTGCAAGAAGTAAAATTATCGTCAACAATTTATATTTCGTGATTATTCATTCATAATAAATACCCATTGATAATAAATGGCCATATATATATATATAGTAAAATATGAAGTAAACATACCTTCAGTGTAGTTAATGGGCCACTGTAGTAACACTCTATCGGGCCTGGCTTCCATGTGGTTTTGCTTATCTTTAAGCATTAGAAGACATAATCACACCAATGGATTTCTGCGAATCAAGTTTTTGGTGATAGATATGAAAGAACGCTTAGGTCACAAATGTCATTTGATTTCCATTGGCCCATTACATTGCAGAAGACCATTATGAAGTCTAGCTTGAAATTCCAATCACCATTATCTGAGGTGATAATCTCGCTTACTATTTTTGTGACACGTAAGGATTGCTTCAAGTATCGGCTTTTCCGTTGCTCTACTATACTAACTCCGCAATTGTCATCAACTAAAGTATCCAAAGTAGTTATACCAATCGGTGCATCAATCACGTCATGTATTTTTTTTAACCGTGATTGGGATCACACCATTTTCGAGTTTAATCAGCATGTTTTGAGGGTCGAACAAATCAAATACATAATAGCCAAGCTTTGCAGGTATACCATCTGTCTTCATGTTCAGAAGGCCTTTAAACCCCATTTCTTTTACACACTCTCTTTGTGATGGGGATAGATTTTGAATCATTGTGTAAAGGGGTTTAGTCGATGTTCTAGTACGAAGAGCAAGATAGGTTCTAATCGGACCTTTGACATTATCTTTTCTTCCCTTAGCATCTCCTTTTGACACTTTTCACCTTTTTCCTTATGTTTTCGTATTGAACCTCAAAGTCGTCATCACCTTTAGAATCTTCCCTTGACGTTGGGGGCCTTTTACAAATAGTATCTGCACAGGAATTGTATTTTGTTATCTAAGATATCATGCTTTTGTAAATACTTTGTATGTGACAACCAGTAATACATTTAATAAAATATAATATCATGTTAATCAAGTGCAATAATCAATGTGCTGTGATGTCAATGGCATACATGAGATTAACACAGTTATGGTACAATTCATGTCATTCATGTTACCAAATTTTTTTTTTTTTTTGGCAAATCTCATGGTTATTGAGGGAGAAAAAAATAGTATTCTATCTTTTCTAGATGAACAATCAGTCACACTTTGTTTCCCTTCAACGACGTTCAATATTGCAATTTCCTCGCCCACATCCATAGGGTTCTCTGTTGTGTTAGAAAATTTTGATCCATTCTGGTTTGATAGTAACCTATAGCTCCTCCGCATTGCTACTATACCCCTAAATTTGTAGTTGGTACACTATTAGGTATGATAATAATGTGATAAAAGTGTGAAAACAATCATTTTGCATCCATATGGTATAATAACAGTGTTAGATTGTTGCGCTAACAATGTGATACATCACAAACTCTTATACAAATATTATTAAGGTTTGAATATAATTAGTGATCCTAATATTATTCAAATAGAACATGCAAGCTTGTTAAAAAGCACCAATTAGAATACTCACAACATATTGATCGCTCAAAGCATATAACATAAACAATTATCTGTGCATATCGATTTAAACAATTATCAGTGATCCTAATATTGTTCATCACAGGAAATGTGATAATAATGTGATAACGGTGTGATAAATTTAATTTAGACTTTATCTATATAAAGGAAAATAAAAATATTTGTAGCACATATTGGCTGAAAATAGTCGGAATAGGAAGCAAATTCCACTTATAAATCACAACCACTTATACAAATATTATTAAGGTTTGAATACAATTAGTGGTCCTAATATTATTCAAGTAGAACATGCAAGCTTGTTAAAAAGCACCAATTAGAATACTCACAGCATATTGATCGCTCAAAGCATATAACAGAAACAATTATCTGTGCATATCGATCCAAACAATTATCAGTGATCCTTATATTATTCATAACAGGAAATGTGATAATGGTGTGATAAATTTAATTCAGACTTAATCTATTTAAAGGAAAATAAAAATATTTGTGGCATATATTGGCAGAAAATAGTCGGAAAAGTAAGCAAATTCTAGTCACTAATTGTTGTTTAATAATTACATGAAGACAAAGAAATAAAGAGTTTCCATGTAAATTCATTAAACTCCCAGTGGATTAAGAAAGTTATAATCACTTATCATTTTGAGGTGGTTCAGACATTGTCGTAAGTTTTTGTAGGCCATGTCTCTGTTTTCATACATGTACTTTGTCATTTCATTTACTATTTATATTGTATCACAGGTTCCATGTTTATGATATTGACTTACGTTTTCATGGACTAGAAGAAAAGGTATATAATATAATTCTATATTCTAATAACTTCCTTAAGACTTCAAAACTCTTATAGCCTGTCAATGTTATGATTCAAAGTATATTACTGAATTTTCTAGCATTGAATGAGGTATTAAGTTATTTGTCAGTATAATTGGGTGAGTTAAAGTAAAGATGAATATCCAGTTGTCAAGTTCATCCTGATTTGATGAAACAAAGTGAGCAAAGAGTTGTGATATTGTCATTGTTCCATCTGAAAGTTAATTGCAGACCACCTGTCTTTCAGCTCAACCCATTGATTAATCCCTCACTTTGTTCGTAGTTTCATCACTGCTTGTATCACTACTGCTCACTGATGTGCACCATAAACCAAAGAAATTCATTTATGTGATAACTATGATATATATATATATATATATATATATGATTTGATCAAAAGAAAGTTAATTGCTAACAAATCTCAACTCAAACTACTTCTGAATCACTTAAAGTGGTGCGTAGCTAGTGATGAAGAATGGAGTTCATATGATAGAAAAATGCAAATGCAAATGCAGAATTTTGCAGTCCAATAGACATATGATTGATGCTAGTAAATAACATAAATCAGCAAGTGAAAAAAGACAGCTATATTATAATCAAGCTGGTCAATTTCACCTTCAATTTCTAACACCAAATCAATGATTATAATAGTGATATCACATGATTATCACACCCATATCACACCAAATTAAGTAGTCGATTCCCTAAGTTAACCCTAGTCAAGCAGAATTCTTGTGACAATTGTGTGATTTTTTAAACCTAACCGATGTAAACCATGATCAAATCGAGTGCGACTATGAGCAAGTGATGTTATAATACTGATATCACATGATTATCACACTCATATCACACCAAATGTTGTAGTCGATCCTTAGCCGAGCGTAATCGTTATGATAAATGTGTGATTCTCTAATCCTAATTGAATGAAAGCATGTTCAAATCGAACAATAGTGATAGATACCTTAATAAATTATCTTCTATCAATTGTTCTTACGGCTTCTTCTTGTTGTTCGATTCCTGCATCCAAATGTTACAGCTTCTTGATCTTCAATTTCTCCTTGAAATTCTTTCGATACCTTATTCTTCTCAGTTTGAAATCGATACGTTCTCATGAGTTTGCAAAATCAATAACTGTTAAAGTAAGGATTCGATAACTGTTGAATAATCGACAATAAAAGATAACTCTAATTTACAGGGTTATCTGGTTTTTAAAATTTTATCATTTTGATTCTCAATATTATCCTTTTGACTCACAAAACTTTTTTAATTGTTTTAATTTATTTTTAATTTAAAAAAATCTTTTAATTTTTATTGTTATCACAATATGAGGTTAATAGGGTGTTCTCGTATTCTCGTAAATGACAGGGGTTCTCGTTCGAACCCTTCCCATATATATATATATATATATATATTAGTATTAGCAAGCCCAACTTTTTTAACTTATGGGCTATGGCCCAAATATATCCCTAATCCCAACATAAAGCCTAACATCTAACATAATCAAATCCAAATGAATCGGCGCCTAAAAATCCCTAAACCAGTAAACATATCGACACATTTGACATTGACGGTCTCTAAATTTTGAAATCCCTCGAGAACTCTCCAAATTTTGAAATTGCTCAACTCTTTCCATTCCAGATTCTGACTTCACCGCACATCAAGACCAAGTCTTCAAATTGGCAAATCAAGTCTCCAAATCCAGATTTGTAAGTCATGTTTTATCATTTTATGAAACTTTTTTGTTGCTTTAAGAAACTTCTATCTATAATGGGTCTTTGATCAATGATTACTGTTATATTTAAAGTATTAGTGATGTTTCTATGAAATCTTATTTCCTATATTGAGCATATTGTAGCTTATGTTTGTTTTCTACTTTTTTTGTTTGGGTGTCTATTTATGCGTTTTAGATGGAAATACCCTCTCAAACACAAAGTATAGACGCAATCGGTGTTTCTAAACCTCCTTTCCCACCTAAATCCAAAGACAGAGAAAAAAAAGCAGACAATGTTTTGAAGTATGAGACCATTTTACGAGAAATGAGACTAACCAAAATGACCCAAGGGTTGTGTGTAATTACTATGCTAAAGATTATGCAGGTGATAAGAAAAAAATGGAACTAGCACCCTTGGGAACCATCTTAACCATCAATGTAAAAAGTACCCATTTAGATTAGAGGATAAGAAGCAAAGATTTTTGTCTTTTCAAAAGAATAACGTGAAGGAAAGGGGTAGTCTTGTATCTGTTGGGTTTAGTCAAAAAGCATGTTGAAAAGCTTGTGCAAAAATAATTGTGATTGACGAGTTACCTTTTAGATTTGTTGAACAATAAGGGTTCAAATCATTTTGTAGTGTTGCATGTCCTAAATTTGAACTTTCATCGCGCATTACAATAGGTAAGGATATTATGAATCTCTATAATGATGAAAAGAAAAAAATGAGGTCCTTTTTCATTCAAAATTCACAAAGAGTTTCCCTCACCATGGATACTTGGACTTCTACTTAGAATGTTGTATGTATGGTATTAGCAGCCCATTTCATAGATTCTGATTAGAAAATTCAGAAGAGGATCTTGAACTTTTGTCAAGTGTCTAACCACAAAGGAGAGACAATAGAAAAAGCTATTAAGTCGTGTTTAAAAAAATGGGTCTTGAGAGGGTGTTCACTATCATTGTCGATAATGTTATAAAACTGCATTCCGTACTCGATATGATCATTATGAATTCATTGTTATGCCATTCGCGTTAAATAATGCTCCAACAATTTTTATGGATCTTATGAACCGGGCTTTCAAAGATTATTTGGATGACTTTGTTATCGTTTTTATTGACGATATTCTCATATATTCAAAGTCGAAAGAAAATCATGAAACTCACTTACGTACTACTTTAGAAACTCTTCAAAATAAGAAGTTGTACGCAAAGTTTTGTAAGTGTGAATTCTACTTGCATCAAGTGGCATTTTTTTGTCACATTATCTCTGGCGAAGGCATTAAAGTCGATCCTACAAAGGTTGAGTCTATCACTAATTGGCCATAACCAACAAATGTTTCTGAAGTATGAAGTTACCTAGGTCTGGTAGGTTACTATCGACGGTTCGTTGAAAACTTTTCCCAGATCGCGCTCCCTATGACTAAACTTCTTCGAAAACAATTTAAATTTGTTTGGGGTGAAGAACAGGAAAAGAGTTTTGAAGAACTGAGAAAGAGATTAATTACAATGCATGTTCTTGCATTGCCATCTGGGTCGGGAGGTATTCAGGTTTATAATGATGCTTCTAAAAGTGGTATTGGTTGTGTTCTAATGCAGCATGGCAAAGTGATTGCGTATGCCTCTCGTTAGCTCAAACCTTATGAATTAAACTACCCTACTCATGATCTTGAATTGGCAGCAGTCATTTTTGCACTCAAACTATGGCGTCACTATTTGTACTCAAACTATGGCGTCACTATTTGTATTTAAAGTACATCTTCACGTAAAAAGAGTTGAATATGCATCAACGACGGTGGCTTGAACTTCTTACGGACTACGACGTCCGAATTCAATATCATCCAGGCAAAGCCAATGTAGTCGCCGATGCCCTTAGCCGTAAAAGCATTGGTAATGTATCGTCTTTAACCGTTCAGTCCCATATTGCTTCAGATATAGAAGGTATGGGTATTACTTTGTGTTATCATGGTAGAGATGAAGTTTTGGTTAGTCTCACGGTTGAACCAACTCTTGTATCTCAAATCAAAGAGGCTCAACAAGAGGATGGAGAACTTTGGGCTATCTTACAAAAGGCTAAAGATGATAAAGGTATTGTCTGGTTTTCAAATCGACTTTGTGTACCCGACAATCCTGAACTCAAAGAAGCAGTTATGAGTGAAGTTCATAATTCGTTGTTCTCAATTCATCCCGGGTCCACTAAGATGTACTGAGATCTAAAACAATAATTTTGGTGGAATGGTATGAAACGAGATATAGCAGAATATGTGGCAAAATGTCTTACTTGCTAGAAAGTGAAGATTGAACATCAACGAACTAGCGGATTGTTACAACCATTAGAGATTTCAGTTTGGAAATGGAAACATATCTCTAAGGATTTTGTGACAGTACTGCCGAAAACTCCGAGACGACATGATGATATATGGGTAGTAGTTGACCATTTGACAAAATTGGCTCATTTCCTACCTATACAAGAAACGTACCCTGTTAGTAAACTGTCCGATCTATTCCATCGAGAAATCATGAGGTTGCATGGCACGCCAGTTTCTATCATATCGGACCGAGATCCGTGATTCACTTCTCGATTCTGAAAAAGTCTTCACCAGGCTTGGGATACGCGATTGACTATGAGTTCAACTTTTCATCCACAAACAGATGGTCAAACTAAACGAACTATTCAAACTCTAGAAGATATGTTACAGGCTTGTGCTCTTGAGTGGTCTGGTGGTTGGGATGAGTCTTTAATCTTCTGGAATTCGCGTATAACAATAGTTGGCAAGCTAGTATAGGCATGGCCCTGTACCAAGCGTTATACGGTCGGAAATGTAGAACACCGATCTGTTGGAATGAAGTGGAGGAACGAGCTATTGAAGGACCCGAACTTGTCCAAATTACTACTGAACAAGTCGAGATTGCAAGACAGAAAATGAAAGAGGCTCAATCTTGGCAGAAAAGTTACGTTGACAAGCATAAAAAACATTTAGAGTTCCAAACGGGTGATCACATCTTCCTAAAAGTTTCACCGTTACGAGGTTTTCGTAGGTTTGGAATTAAAGGTAATTTTAGTCCGAGATATATTGGACCCCTTGAAATACTTAAACGGATTGGAGAGGTGGCGTATCGCCTGGCGTTACCTCCTCAACTATCACATATTCATAACATTTTTCATATCTCATCACTCCGCAAATATCATTATCACCCTTTCCATGTGATTGATTATCCGTTGGACAAAGTTGAGAAAGATCTCTCTTATATTGAAGAACCAGATGCGATAATTAGTCGAGAATAGAGACAAATATGACGAATGTCAATACCGTTTGTTAAAGTGTTATGGCAAAATCATTCCAAGCGAGAAGCCACATTGGAAACAGAGGAATCTATGTGAAAGGAGTACCCATATCTATTCGAGTCATGTAAGTCCTCTAAACCTATCTAAATTTTGAGGACGAAATATTCTTTTTAGGAGAGGAGGATTATAATATTTGTGTTCTATTAACTCGTACAAATTGAATTAAGTAAATTTTTGGTAAAATTATGCATAACATATTTGTACCTTATGCTTAACCAACTTGTACCTTGTACTAGTTTTGTGTCAAAAGTTGAGTTTATACCTATTTTGGCATAAAGTTGAGAATCTAGACTTGAAGGATTAAAATCGTCAAATGATTAAACTTTATATATATAAGAAAATAAATAAATAAATATATATATATATATATATATATATATATACATGGATGCATGAATGACGGTTTTTATCACCGCCTCATTCTCTAATTTTTCTCTCTTTCTAAAACTCTCGTCTTCTATTTAAATTTTATGTCAAGTTATTAAGGGGATCGAAGTTAACAAATATATGTTCAGAATTCACTCTCTGAACCCTTTTTAAAGGTATAAATTTCATTCATTTTTATTATGGTGTTTACTTTAGGGTTCTTGAGACCGGTTTATAAATTATGTTTATGTCTAAGTTTACGGATTGATGTTATCAAAATTATGATATATTTGATGCTTAGAATGCTAGGACTGGTTAATTGATGTAGAAATTAAAAGGATATATTATAGTTTCAATATGGTTAGATTGTGGGTATATGTTTAACCGTACATCAATTGTTCGGTTAAATGTTGAAAAGAGTTAAAATGCATGATTAAGCTTAGGTTAGCGACCATTAGACTTGTTTTACTGTTTAGTATGTTGAAGTATGTTTATAACATGTAAATGTAGCGAATCATGGAAGATGGATCATAAAAGTTAGTCGGGAATTGCGGAATCGAATTTTACCGACAATGCAACTCCCGTACTTTGACAATGTATAACTCACAAACTGTAAGTCAGAATAAGCTCGTATTTTGCATTCAAAAAGATTTTACTGCATACTACAACTTTCATGAAGGGTCGAAAATCCAGTTATGACTCTAAGTGGCTCAAAACAGTGTATTTTCAGGGCTATTTACACTTTTATTTAGACAATATAATTTGTATTGGTCTCAAGTAGAGAAAAAATGCTTAGAAATAAGAGACACAGAAGCGGTTGGATCGAAAGAGAATAAGGCTAAGTTTTACGTTTGAGTTTTCAATTCATATCCGGTTGTCCTTCTTGACGTCTACGTTGTTTAATTACATTAAGACCTAAGTAATTTTATTAGAATAATTATGTTACGGTTTATATGTTTTGTAAATAGTAACCCGTTTATGCATTCGTTTGGCATGTGGACAAATCAAACTTGATCGTGAATTTTCGTTTGATCGTGCGTTAATTGTCAAATTCGGTTAATGTACGGATTTCATAACTCACTTGACACGGGGATAGCCGTTTATATAAGGCTTCCTAATCTGAATATATTGGTTCTAAATTCTCATTGTGCTCATCAATTGCTATTGAGGTTTTATTTCCTTTCAAAATATGATTTACATTCTTATTTGGAACATGGATCATTTTGATCATTTGATTTGTTTGATTACTTCATTTGTGAAATATTTTTACTATAGACTCAATAACCGGAGCATCGGTATTGAGATTTTCCATGGTGACTAAAACGATCATGACGTCCTCATTTTTATAGTCCTTAAAGGTGGACTTGATTATATACCGGTCGAATAGAGGACGTATGGATCGATGCTAGGAACCGTTATCGGATAATAAATTATGGTCATGGTTAAATCCACGGAGAGAATTGTTGTGTTGTGCTCGCACCCTTTTTCTCACTGATGCCTGAATGGACTGATCATCCTTTGGGAACAACGAGTCCTCGTGATGCGGTTTGGTCTTCGGACCCTTGACATGCCTTCGGGGTATTTTCACTTTCTTTTGGATTATCACTTAGCGTTATAAATTATTTTTGAACTTGTTATCTCATATTCATTGTTTAGTTATATTATTATCCATTCACTGAGCATTAAACTCATCCGAGATTTTCTTGTCCTCGGCAGGTACATGACTTAGCAGAGATTTTGGGGTGAGAGCTACGGAGATAACAATACTGAAAATTAACCATTAAGTCATATTTTTGTTAACTTTTGATGACTAGTGTATATATATTGGTAATTTGGGACCGCATTTTGAGACACATTATCTTCGTAAGTGGTTATGTAATTATCTTTTGGTAAATTTTATTAGCTGCTCTTTTTTATATAGTAAGTTGATTTTTTTTAAACCAATTGTGGCATCTCCGGTTTTTGACCAAGCAGGACGAGGGTGTTACATTTTAATTGTTTTTAAATATGGAAGATTAAATAGAGTAACTTTTTTAAGGAAATTCTATATCAATTGATTTTAATATATAATATTAATAATTTAATTCTTATGAAATATTTATTTCATCGTCATAATAACAAAAGAATCGGTATTTTTTTCAAGCAACAAGTGGTTACTGATTTATTAATAATATAGTTGTGATATTTTCCAGATTTTGAGTACATTATTTTGTTTTCATTCGTAAAACAAATTTCATTAATGAAACAATGTTATACAGTTTTCAAAATGTTTTAAAAATGAAACTAAATTCATTTTAGTTAGGAACCATGAAACTATTTTCATTAATGAAGTAATAGTATTCAGGTCTTGAAATGTTTTATTGACTGAACTATATTTGGTTTTATTAATAAAACCAATTTAATCTTGGCTATAAATCATGAAACCGATTCCATTTTGGTTAGCTTGGAAACATGATTTTTTTAAATGAATGAAATATTATTATTCAGTTCTTGAAGTGTTTCATTGACTGAACAATATTTAGTTTAATATGTAAAATTGAGTTCATCTAGGTTAGAAACAATGAAACTTGATTCTATTTTGGTTAGAAAACATTTCAACAATTTTCACTGCTGAAACAATGTTATTCAGTTTTTAGAATTATGGAGTCCATGAAACCAATTTCAATGATGAAACAAATTTCATTAATGAAAACATGTTATTCAAGTTTTTGAAAAATGTTCAATTGACTGAACCATATTTGGCTCAAATTTCATTATACAGACGAATAATGAAACAAATTTCACTAACGAAAAAATGAGATATAGTTTCCAAAATGTTTTATTGATGAAACCAATTTCATTAATGAAATCGTATTATTTATTTTGCAAAAAAAATTCATTCTTAAAACCGATCTCACTAATGAAATGTTTGTCAAATTCAATAATGTTTGATCAAATGAAGATGAATCCGAGTGTAATTCTTTTTTGAATATTGAACATGAACTCAATTTCACGAATGAAGTCATTTTATTTAGTTTCTGAAACGTTTTAGTCATGACACCGGTTTCACTGAATAAATAAAACTATTCAGTTTACAAAATAAAATTATTTGAAAACGGCAAAAAATCGAACAATATGGCTGGAAGTTAAAAATAGTTTGCCAATTTTACCCTTTCTGATTCAATATTAAACCTTTTATTTTATTTTTTATTTTACTTTCCAAATATAACACATTTTAATTATGACCATTGATTCAAAAAAATAGATTGATGAGATTGGTTTGTAGGGTTTGCACAAAAGGGGGGTAGTTTGCATTTGATCGCCTCTATCTATCTATCTATCTATCTATCTATCTATCTATATATATATATATATATATATCTATATATATATATCTATATATCTATATATATATATATATCTATATATATATATATAGTTTGTGATAACCATGAGATCCAATCTCAACCACAAATCAATAGATAAATTAAGAAATTTATAATTTTGGTAATTTTGAATTAAAATTTTAATGCAATGACATTTTAAGTATTTTAAAACTCTCATCCCTCCTCTCTCCTCTCTTCTCTCTCCGTCCTCCGTCCTTCGGCCACCGTCTTCCGGTGATACCACAGTGGTATCACGATGCATCTTATATGTGCTTGGGTATCACACTAAGATTATTTGTGTGGTCGATCGGAGATGTAACACAGGGGTATCAAAATGCATCTTATATGTAATTGGGTATCACACTGTGTCTTTTGTTTAACAGAGTCAATATTTTTAGGTATCACAGTGGTATCATCAGAGGACGGTGGCCGGAGGACGGAGAGAGAAGAGAAAATACCTAAAATGTTCTTGCATTAAAATTTTAATTCAAAATAACCAAAATTATAAATTTCTTAATTTATCTATTGATTTGTGGTTGAGATTGGATCTCACGGTTACCACAAACTAGTCAGTTCTCYCTTGAATRGGCCCATATATATATATATATATATACCATATATATATATGGTATATTTCAAATACAACCATGTATATTTGTACAATCAATGCAACCCAATTAATTGATATATTTATATAAATAATGAGAGTTCATTTATTATGATTTGATTATTTATGGAAGATGAATAAGGTTCATTAATTATGATCAATATTTTATATTATGAAACAATCATAACTTATATGAAGTCACATATTCACCAAATTAAATGGATGATTGAGATTGAGTTGTATTGATTGTACAAATGTAAAGGGTTGTATAATAATCCACTTATATATATATATATATATATATAGTTCTAAATCATAAAGAAAGATGTTTTTTATATGTATAAAGTCTTACAAAATTAAGATGAACTCACCAAGCTAGGTTAGCTAAAACCTAGAAACCTATCAAAATCTTATATTTTGGGTAGAGAAATCTTGAAGCTTTAATCCTCACTCTAAATCCAAACCTTGAATGGCTCCAACACACTTCCAAAATCACCCCAAAAGCTTCCCGAATCGTCTTCGTTAAGAGATAAATGAACGAGATCAAGAAAATGATAAACCCTAGTCTCAAAAAACAACTTTTTATGCTTTAAGGCCCATGAATTATCATGCCCATGATTGTATCGCTTGGACGTACAAAACCTCGATACGCTCTTGTGTTCGCTATTGTGACATGTCATCACTATCTCTGTCACTATCACATCAGACGTACACACACTCGGTACATCTGATGTTATCATGACACGATGTCACTATCGCTAGCGCTATAACCAAACTCAATATTTGACATCTTTTTTGACCCCGTAACGTAACACGGAAACTCACGATCGAAGGTCAAATATTCCTACTTTGAAAACAAAATCAACTCGACAATTCCAAGAATTCCATATTTATAATAAGAAAACAGGGGTGTTACATCACCCTCATTTTCCTTATCAGTAACATTCTCAGCCCCTAAAATGGCAAATGTCTCTTACCTGATAATCGCTAACTGTATAAGAGTCTTCTCTTTCGCTTACAGAATAAGATTACTGGTTCTTTTTATGCCTATTACCCGATAAGATTCTCAAACTTTACGATACTCATGATAAAAATAAAAATAGCCCAAATTATGAATAGCAGCATAGTTGGGCCGGACCATGAAGGCCCACCAAGATGAAATATTGGAATACAAGCAACTCCATTCCTCGTTCATTTCTCCCTTTTCTCCTCGGTAATGGGGTCTCCAAACCCCTCTTCCTCTGCAACACCCAATCCCTTCGCCTTCTTCCACCAACATTTCCTCCGACTAGGCTCCGATATCGCCTCCCGTTTCGATGAAACACGGCGGGAGATTGCCAAAAATCTTTTCCCGTTTCCACCACCTAAGCACCAGCGTTCATCATTGCCTTTTGCTTCGTTGTCAGAGTCACAGTCACAGCAATACCAAGATGACAACAAGCTTCGTGGTGGGAAACATGTGTTTGACTTGGCTTTAAGCTCTGAACATGTGTCCAAGACGCTCGCCGGAACGGAGTTGTACACAGTCAGTAATTCCGACAATGAATTCGTGCTAATTTCTGATCCTAACGGACTCAAGTCAATTGGATTGCTTTGTTTTCGTAAAGAAGACGCTGAAGCATTTCTCGCTCAGGTGCTAGTGTCGTGTGTTTGTGTGTGTGCGTGCGTGCGTGCGAGTAACGAGTTATATATGTTCATTGTATATGCACATTTGAATTGCAGGTTCGATTGAGGAAAGGGGAGCTGAGAGGGCGCGCAAAGGTTGTACCTATTGCACTTGACCAGGTGATCATTTTGGAATCTAGAGCGTTGAAGTTAATTAAAATTGCATAGTTATTTTGGTTCATGTTTGCTCTTTTGGATGCTTATTTTGATGGCAATGGATGAATATTTTCTTAAAATTTGATCAAACAAAACAACTGTGCTTCACTTTGATAGTGAAATGAGCCATCTCAATAGTAAATTTGTTGTAGATTCTAGGGTTTATTGAGAAAACATCATAATCACATTAAACTTTGTACAAGTACTCCAAATTGAAGGATGTTGGCTGTAAATTGGCCACAGAATCCATCTTAATTTTGCATTTGAAAAGTGTTGGTTTGATGATAGATATGGAAGTGCAGCTTCACCTCTATTACACTTAATGTTCAGTTTCTGATATTTGTATCCATTCTTTATTTCTAGGTTTATTTGTTGAAGGTTGAAGGAATTGCATTCCGATTTTTGCCTGATCCTGTTCAACTTAAGAATGCAATGGAGGTTGGTGCTTTACATTTACTGATTTATTCAATGACTAATTAGATAACATCAACATCAAGGGTCTAACTGTTCACATCCTTTTTTAGTTTGCATCCTTTTTTAACTTTCTACGTAGAGCAGGCAGGTCATGGATACCTTTTCATGGAGATGGTTCCTGTAGTTCATCTACTTTCAAGTGTCAGGACAAGAATAATAGAAAAGTATCGGTGTTTTAGACAATAAATCAATCTTATTTCCAGAGTTCATTGTGAATCATTGATCATTTAGCCATCCTAGTTAAAATGCAGCTGCAGTCAATAATCACTATGCATGCCTATACCTTGTATCATCATGTAATTTACAATGGCATTCTTTTCTGAGTTGATGCTACATTGGCATACCAAAAAGAACCACTTCTATTTGAAGTGCCTAGTCTCAAAAATAGATAAAAGTATTCTGTCGTGTTGATAGAGTACCGAATCACCAAGACTTTTTCTTGAAGCAAGTTATTGGGCTAACTTTAAGCATATGCAAATGGTCTATACGTCAGGTTTCTTAGAATCAGCAAATGTGACACATGAATCCTAGGACAGAGTCTACAGTATTGGAGTAGGATCGTGAATTAAATGGTGGTATTCTATTTTCCTATTGATATACATGAAAAAGACAGTTGTTCTGTAGACGTCCTCTCAAAAGTTCAGTACCCACAATGTCACATATATCAATGAAGTACTCGAACTAAAACCCATTGTATTCCATTAATATTCAACTTGCTACTGATTTTGATCTTGGTATTCTAATTCTGAGTAGTTCTTATTGTCATGTTTATAGCTAAAATCTTCTGCTACAAAGAGTGGGTTTGATGGAGTACCTGTTTTTCAGGTATGTGGAATTACTTCTTATCTGTAATCTAGTGAGTTCTCTTTCTGTAAAGTGACAATGCTGTTACACTCGACACTTTACACATCGCACCAACTCTTTCAAATTAATGTTCAATCTAATGCGCAAGCACAGAAATCCAGCCAACAAGTTTTAACACACAAAACACCCACTTGTAACAATAATGAGTAAATGATCTAGCAATGGCTGGTGCAAAATCAGGGTGAATTTTCATTTTTTATATTTTTTTCTTGTAATATGGGACTTCTTATATGGTATTACTCAGTTTTTATATGTTACTAAAACATGAAAATATGCATTGGGGATACAATGATGAACAGTTGAAATGCTTAAAGCCTTGTTCGTACACCAACATTTTTCTTTCTTCCTCTACTTGTTTTAATTGTTGCCGGATCTGAACTAAATGATGTGCGTACAAAACTGTTCTGGATGTGGATCATCGCTTTTCCAATAAATTTATGTTTGCCCTTTTTTGTTTCTTTGTGTAGTCGGACCTCTTAGTTGTAAAGAAGAGGAACAAACGTTACTGTCCTATATACTTTCGGAAGGTTTGTATTTGAATTTTCTAACAACCCAGAGCTGGTGGGATGGGAGATTCGGTTAAAATGCTATACTGATTGAAACTTGAATGTATGCTTAGGAGGATATCGAGAAAGAATTGTTAATGGTTCCACGTGGACCAAGAGGACCAGGGATGTCACAACATATCATGGTATTGCAAACTTTTTCACATTCATGTTTCTTATATATAAATGGAAATATGTTCATTAAATTCATCATATTGAACAAGTTCTAGATGAATCAAAGGTTTTACATATCCGATTTTTTCAGGCTAAAAGTTCTAGTTACTTGATTTCTAAACCTACAATATTGTTTATTCGATCATTCTAAGATCTCCTTTTTTTCTACTGAGAGTGCGTGCCATTTCTATTCCTCTTGCAGGTCGGAAGTCTGGAAGATGTTTTGAAGAAAATGGAGGTAACTAACCTAATGCGTATTTCATGTGTTCCAATCATTTCTTGCTGTAGTATATGATTATCTAACATTATGTATGGCTTGGATGGCAGACGAGTGAGAAAAATTCGGGTTGGGAAGATCTGATTTTTATCCCCCCTGGTAAAAGTCACTCCCAACACTTGCAGGAAGTGGTAAAAGCGTAGAAAGAATCGGTTCATAATAAGCCATGATGCAAAGCAGACCCAACAAATGTAGCCATTTTTCCAGTCTTGTGAGAAAAACAGGTATGTTTCTTGTTTTTTGTTTAGTCCCATACAACAGTTTGTGTTTTGACTTTCGAGTGTCAAATATGAGTTATGATTTAGATAGAAAAATTCCATAGAAATTGTTTGTTTTGTAGTGAGAAATGATAACTACATTAAACTATCATGTATTCCTATTATCATCTATGTCGATCCTAATTTGAAAAGTAGTAGATTTGAGTTACCAACACCAGAAGTGGATCGTACTTTCTGGATGAAGGGCAGTGTGGGTCATTTGCTGTGTAACTGGACCCAGTGAATCCTATATAAAGTGTGGTTTGTTAACACAAGGTGTAGAGCCTTAAATGGATTCACTCACTAGCTTGGAACAATGCTAATGAATCCACATTATATTCATTAATGAATATTAGAAGGGTATCCGCGTAATGCAGCGAGATATATCTAGATTTTAATTTTTCATTTTATTCATTTTCTCTTTCGATATAATATGGTTTTACGTAGTTTTAGAAAACAATAATATTTTTATTTTTGAACGAAATATAAATTTGAAAAAAAATATATCGATATTAGTATTAAATTAACTATTTAAAAGTT